AAACAAGTTTGGTGACCCCCGAGTTCAAATAATAATGGCATCTGAAAGCTTGGTGGACATTCTTTGCACTTTAAAACAGCCCCAAGATTTCAGTGGATTTAATGTGACTTTATTTAAAGGGATAGTTCACCCAAAAAATAAAAATTCTGTTATCATTTACTTTTCACATATTAAAACCTTTTTGTTTTGTTGCACACAAATATATTTTAACATGGTTCATATGGTCATGGTAAACCTGGAAAAGTCATGGAATTTTGACATGGCATTTTTCAGGCCTGAAAAACAGAAAAACCCACAAAATGTTGGAAAATTCATAAAAAGTAGTTATCTGTATACTTAAATTAGGGCTGCACGATATTGGAAAAATCTGACATTACAGTATTTGTATTTCTGTGATACATATTGCGAAGTGAATACAATTTCACCAGATGATTAACAGGTTATTTCGATTGATTGGGAGATTTTGTAGAGTGAGATATAAGTGAATTATAGTTTTCAGGTATTCCATATACAGGTACAGATATTGAATAATCAACACTGCATATTCATTGTATATTATTTATTAAAGTTACAAAAACCGGATGTTTTAAAATTTGAAATTGAGATGTTCACACAGTCACAGGCCTAAAGCAGGAGTGGGAAAACTCGGTCCTGTAAGGCCAGTGTTCTGCATAGTTTAGCTCCAACTCTAATCAAAAACACCTGAACATCCCAATCAGTGTCTTCAAGATCACTAGAAATCTATAAGCAGGTGAGTTTGATTAGAGTTGCAGCTAAACTATGCAGGACTCTGGCCCTCCAGGACTGAGTTTGCCACCCCTGCCTTAAAGGGACAGTTTACTCAAAGATTAAAATGTACTCACTAATTACTCTCCACTTGTTTCAACACTATCAGAGTTATTTAATTATATTCTTTTTATGTTCATTTAAAAAACAAAAAAGCTCAGAAATGTTTGAAACAAGTGAAGGGTGTAATTTTTAGGTGAACTATCTCTTCAAAAATGCATGCAGATGATACACTTTTACTCCATTATTATTAAACTCTATATTAAACTATAATCTTAACATTGCATATCCTGCCATGTGACTATTGCAAATACACACATTACAATATCGATGGTGAAACAATATATTGTGAAGCTCTAACTTTAATATAGGTTAGTTGTCCTTACTACTTTTTTGTTCTCGGCCAAAACCTTGCTCTAACATTGTTAGTGTAGTGTAAGCAATATTAAAATCCATTTTACATAGATATAAAAACTAATTTAAACAGCATAGATTGTTGCGTGTTTTATGAAATGCTGTAATAAATTTAAATGTCATTGTTTTCTCATTATTTACTATGTATGTAGACATTACAGAAAACAACGTCATGAAAATGTATTTAAAAGTTCTGCAAAAGTCTTGGAATTTTAGTAGTAAAAATGTGTATGAACCCTGTTTAAAGAGTTTTTGAAAAATACCAGCTTAAAAATTGAGTGGTTACAGATTTCCAACATTCTTTAAAATATCTAAAAAAAACTCAAATTGGTTTGAAAAGAGTAAAGAGTGAGTAAACAATGACAGAATGTTTTAGGGTGAACTATCCTTTTTATAAAATGAATTTTCTGCTTGTTATATCTTGCACTAAATAAAAATAAATGCATATTTTAAATACAACTTTAGATGTAATTCCTATTTAGAATGTAGTATTACAGAGTCGAACAATTTAGTTGTGATCAAAACTGTCACTGCTGCATCATGAGGTGCCTTTATGCACACACACGCTGCTATTAAAGTCACTGCCAGTGCTTTCAGACACAAGACATACACACGCACACTATTTCCAAGCCTGAACAAAACATGTCCAAAATGCAGTTAGGAAAGCTTTACAAACGGATGCAACTTTCTCTTTGACTATAATGCTGTTTATTAGAGTTTTCAAGTGAGCTGGATAGTTGTCTGAATCATCAGCTATATGTCTCAGCTCTGGCCATGTTTGTCGGAGTGGGTGTTTATGAACTAGAGTGAATATTTGTAAAGAGCTTCTGCTTTTGCATTTGTGTGGTGTGATCAGGTTGGAACACACCTGTGTGTATGTTTTCCTCCTGAGCCTCATAGCGGAGGCTCATCTCCAGAAGGCCATATGGGTCCTGCTGAGCTTCAGCCTGTTCCTCCTGCAGCCTTTGGCCTGCTGGTCCACAGCAGCTCAGCACGGCTCACCTCAACACACATTGCAGGATCTGTCTGCCAGAACGCAATACAAACTAAACACACACACACTCGACTGTCCTTGAGTTTGTACATTCTGCTGCATGTTAAAGCACTCGCCCACCTTCCGATTCCGGTGAACTTCTTCGTCTATCAACGTTTCATTTAGGGACGCCCATTTTTGCTGCATAACAAAACAAATTTGAGTCATAATAATGACAGAAGTTAAAATTATTATATCACAAGTGAAAATTGTGTTGTTGTGTTATGATGTTAAACCTGCCAAAATGTAAAAATGAGGTAATTACTTAATAGAAAACTTTTATATTGAAATTATGTCATGAATTTTTGCATTTTTCAACTCTTATAGATCTTTCTGTATAATTTCTTTCAAATCCTACGCTTATCCTAACTTTTTGCTATTCAATTACTATCCGAAATAAAAGTAATTTACAACCAAGGACTAGCCCACAGACTTTTTTACTATTTCTGTGCAGAATTTAGTGAAAAATTCTGCAGATTTATGCTATAGGATTTTTTTAAATGTAGTACCTGAAAAATTGACCCAGGAATAAAAAAAATCAATAATTTTCTTTTATTCAAGGTTTACAATATACACTAACTGCCCACTTTATTAGGTACACCTGTCCAACTGCTCATTAACGCAACTTTCTAATCAGCCAATTACATGGGAGAAACTCAATGCATTCAGGCAGGTAGACATGATCAAGACGATCTGCGGCAGTTCAAATCGAGCATCAGAATAAGGAAGAAAGGGGATTTAAGTGACTGTGAACGTGGCATTATTGTTGGTGCCAGACGGGCTGGTCTGAGTATTTCAGAAACTGCTGATCTACTGGGATTTTCATGTACCACTATCTCTAGGTTTTAAAGAGAATGGTCTGAAAAAGAGAAAATATCCAGTCTGCGGCAGCTCTGTGGGTGCAAATGCCTTGTCGATGCCAGAGTTCAGAGGAGGATGGCTAGACTGGTTTGAGCTGATAGAAAGACAACAGTAACTCATAAACCCCTCATTACAACCGAGATATGCAGAAGAGCATCTCTGAATGCACAACATTTCCAACCTTGGGGCAGATGGGCTACAGCAGCAGAAGACCACACTGGGAAGCAGTTTTACAGAAATGAGTATAACACAGATATAAAAATTGGTAATAAAAATGACAAACAATGCAATTTGGAAACACTGCAAATGATGAAAGAAGACCTATAAACGCACACCTATAAATCCATTACTTTTTTACTAAATGGAAGTGTGCCTATAAACTACTGCTTATTGCAATAAGTATTTAACAAGAAGTTACATTATTAAATATTCATGAAAAAAAACTATTAAAATAATTGCACCAATAGACTATAAACAGGTCGCACAGCATCTGTATATATTTTGATGAGCTCATCAATCACTCACGCCTCCACACATTATTTACCTCCTCATGTGTTGTGGCTGCTGTAGGCTATGTATAATATATGGGAGCGCACATGTGTCTTCCTCTGCTTGTAAACTCATAAACAAGCACATGCAATCGGTTCATGAGGTTGGCCAGATTGCGAGTACCAATCAAGTCATGTGATTATAGGCAGATCCCGATCTTTGGCTGATTGCATCCCTAATATTTACACACATTTAGGCTAAGGAAATAAAGTAGTTTTACTGTGTATTTCTGCAGGCGCAGATTCCCTTTGCGGCCACCAATGAAAACATTTGTTATAATAATGATTATTTTTGCCTGGTTTCACTTTTCATCTAATAATTTTGACTTCAGGTTTCATATTTGGTTTTACTTTTCCTATAAGTAATTCACTATTGGTGAATTAAATAAACTAAATTGACTGTTGTGTAGGTGACGCAGTGGCGCAGTAGGTAGTGCTGTTGTCTTACAGCGATAAGGTCACTGGTTCAAACCTCGGCTGGGTCAGTTGGCGTTTCTGTATGGAGTTTGCATGTTCCCCCTGCATTCGTGTGGGTTTGCTCTGGCTTCCAACAGTCCAAAGACATGAGGTACAGGTGAATTGGGTAGGCTAAATTGTCCTTAGTGTTTGAGTGTGAATGAGTGTTCATGGATGTTGCCCAGAGATGGGCATCCGCTGCATAAAACATATGCTAGATAAGTTGGCGGTTCATTCCGCTGCAGCGATCCTAGATTTAAAAAGGGACTAAGCATTCCTCACTCATCACTATGGTATCTGGTCCTCCATCATAATGTATGAGTCTGGCTGCTCCATGGACCTGTTTTCACAAAAACATACTATTATAAAAATGAAATCTGAGTCTTGCCAGACCACCTCACTCCCTCAAATCAGACTTGGCAGAAACAGTCTATCGCAAGAGTCATGAAAAGCAAGCAGGAACACAAGAGCAGAAAGTGGCCTTTTCAGTGAAAAGAGAGGGGGAGGAGGGTTACCGTGAAGAAAAGGTCCACCAGGAGTGGTTCCTGTCATGCACACGGGCCATGTGGAGCAGGGTGGGGAACCGGGAACAATGAAGACAGTCATACAGTCAGGCAAAACAAGGCCCAGATGTTTCCAATCAATTCCCCATACCAGATATGTTTTCACGTGAAGCCTTGGAGAAACATGTCTGATAAAGATAAGACTGTGGAATATGGAGGACTCTGAATCTCTTTCTCCTTCTCATCATCAGTTTGACTGTACGCCCTCTCTCACTGTCCAGTGTGGAAAGACTGGATGAACAAAACATCTAGGTGAGCCAAGTTCTGGTTTAGGGTGGGGGAGCGTGCACATACACACACACACTGGACCAGATGTGTATTCAGGGATGGCCAAAAGCAAGGTTAGAGTAGTCACTGGAGGAATGATTTCTGCATCACTTTCATTGTTCTCAGTCTATCAGGAATCACTTTTAACACACACTTTGCGAGCATGCGCAGAACTAGTCGGCGTTCTGAACGCATAGATGAGTTTTGGTGAAAGATAGCGCTCATAGGGTCTTGTTGCACGAGTGGGTGAGGTCTTTCTCTCAGGCGCAGTTCTTGTGAGAGTTTGTGATTTTGCAGTGTGAACCGCAGAGCTCCTCATAGTGGACAATCTATTACAATGCATAAAATGCCTCCACTGTACGCGCAATCCCGAGCAAGAGTCTCCGCCAACAGTGCTCGGCGTTGGCGAAACGCGCACTTTTAAAGGGAGTTGACCACCGCTGAACACAGCAGAAAAGATGCCCTTCTGCAAGAGGACCATAGTCCCGAAAGATGTGAGCCGGAGTCGCGGCGCGGTGCTGACGGATCTGGTGGATGTGTGCGGCTTGACTCTGTGCGCGGTGCTCCGGCAGCTGTCGGATTTATCCCGGCAGTCAGTGAGCATCCTGGAGGAGCTGGAAGGAGAGCTCGCCTCCATCTGCTACCGCTCCGGAGCGCTGGAGAATAAACTTACCAGCCTGCAGAAACACATCGCAGCGCTGGCCACCAAGCCGCCGGCCAAAAGTAGGAACTTTTCAATACTTTATGCTCACTTGTAGATGTGTGTGTGCGTGACTTGTTTGCTCACTTGACTGTCAAGTTCAAGGTCTTCATTGCTGATGTTTACATTCGCCAAACAGCGTCGCGCGCAGTTCGAAACAGTATAAACACAACATCACTTGACTTCCATTCTTGGGGAGCTCCGCATATTTTGAGAACAATAACGTCTTTATTAATTGCATAGAGCATCTCTGCTAGACTTTTAATGTAGCTGTTTCTCATCTGGCTGTAATGTAAATATATGGAGAGATGGTAAGGTTGGGAAGGAGCAACAAATGTCCAGTTAAAAAACAGTATCTGTTGGTTTCCACCTAAATGGTTTTATCATTAATGGCTTTTATCTATCAAGTCCATTATATTTACTGTGTTTTGGAACTTTTATTGAGATAGTTTCACATGCCACCAATATTTTTAGCAGAGACCCAGAGGGACTGTCCATTAAAAGCATTACAAATTCCCTGAGGGTTTCTTTTTTTTTCAGTCTTACTTTTGTTAAACACAAAAGAAGATGTTTTGAAGAATGCTATAAACCAGTATTTGACTTCCATAGTATTTGATTTTCCTATGGATGTCGATGGTTACAGGTTTTCAGCATTATTACAAATATGTTATTTGTGTTCAACAGAATATGCAAACTTATATGATTTGCAACCAATTGTGGGTGAGTTAAAAGTGATTAACTTGAACTAGTGAACTATCCCTTTAAGAAGGATGGTCTTTTGCAGGGTGTCCGTGGGGTCTTAAAATGCCTTAAATTTCAAAAACATAATTTTAGGCCTTAAACAGTCTTACATTCACTGAAATATTATCTTGTAGTTCTCAAATCATTTTAAACAGGTCTTAATTTTGTTTATGTATAGCTACCCAATCCGTCCTACACACATCCAATCACCAGAAATACATCTCAATAAAACTTTTAGCAAAACTCTCTAACTAATATTATTTTGTTTATTGTTTATTTGACATGGACATCATGGGACAAACCAAATGCATTTGTTTAAGTGTTTTAGCAGACTCTTAACACCTGTCCAAGGTAGGCTAGATGTAAAATGAAGGTCAAATAAATACATGTACACAACAATATAATTCTTCTAGGGTCTGCTTAAATTGACACATTATTTAAATTATGACTATTTGTTTACTAATTTGTTTTATGATAGGGAAAGTAAAAAAATTGCTGCACTATTAAGAAAATATTTGCGTTTAACCCTATACAAGTCTGAAATTTCATTCTTGATGGTCTTAAAAAAGTCCAAATAGTTTTAAATTTGACTTGGTGAAAGCTGCAGAAACCAGTTTGCAGTGTTTAGTTCAGATGTTTTAAATGATGAAATTATGCGGCAAATAATTCATAACAACAACTCATCATGATGATATTTACAAGGGGTAAACTATTTAAAATGCCGTTGTATATAGAAATATTTTTTGCTTATGTTTTATAATAATAATACTCCAACATGAACTCTGTTTAGCCTCATTGAAAAAAGTCCATCACTTTAGTTTGTTCCAGTTCTTCGGGTGTTTTGGTTATTGCTGTAGAAGTTTCTGCTGAAATGTACAAAACCGTTTAGCAACAATAACAATAATAATAAATATAATAATAATAACAAACCAGAATATAGAACAACATGTATTATTTTACAAAATATAAAATAAGTGACAAAAGGATAAAAATATTGATTTGATATTAAGTCAAGATGTTCTGTAAATTTCTGCTGTAAACATAGCAAAACTTAATAAGTAATAGGCATTGTTAAGCACATAGACAACTTTAAAAGTGATTTTCTCAGTATTTAGATTTTTTTTAACCCTTAGATAGCTCTTGATATTAAAAAAGTTCAGCCAAATTTTGTTCTGTTCTCACAAGGTATACATCAAGCTTATTCATTTACATTTTTTATTCTCAATAAAAATGACAATCATGACTTATGGTTCAAGGGTCACATACACCACCTGACAAAAGTCTTCGATCGTTGATCGATCTCAGATGTAAGAGCAACAAATAATAACTTGACTTCTAGTTGATTATTTGTAAAAGTGGCAGAAGGTAGAAGTCTGCACCATGACTTTATATTTTATACTGGACATTAATTCTGTTAAGTGATGACTTTTGTCTAAGCAAAGTCTGACCTAACTGTCCTAATTAAATAATAAAAAATCAAGGGATGATCATATTTTATTTTGTTTAAATAAGCATAATCTACAGGCCTTTGCCTTTCATATAAGCCACTTCTGATACCAAAGGATCAACTAGAAGTCAAGTTATTATTTGTTGTTCCTAAAACTTTGAAAGGCGACAAGACTTTTGTAAGGTAGTGTATTTTAATTTGGCTTCAAACTCTTTAAAAAATGGCCAAAATTCACACATGGGTCTTCAAATCTGAAGAAAACAGATGGATTACTTTGGAATAGTTAATTATATTAATTTCAAAATAGTGTTCTGTCAATTAGTTTAATTTAGTTTTATGAGCGTAAGCAGTCTTATTGCACTTGTTGTAACCATGGTACTTTGGAAACTATGGTTACCATGATGAATTTATGTACCAGAACAAAATCAGAGCATCTTTTACTACACTCATTTATGATGTGAACTGCTTGTTCTTACTATTATTACGCTTGTGTATCTAGGCTGCGCTAGTGAGAGAGAGAGAGAGAGATGCCGTGCAATTGCACTCGCATGTCACTGCCACAAAAGTAAAGAACAAACAAAAGATACACACAGAAGGATTTCAGTGTCACTTGTCAGCTATTCAAGTATAGGATAATGACACTTTTACTTATTAATGAACAGTAAACAAATGCGCTGACCATGCCACAGAGACTGTTTATTATATCAGTGTGTTCACACTTGGCTGTGTGTCTAACTTTCGCATCATAAGCTGTTGTTTTTAAAATCTTTCCCATTTGCATTTGAGACGCATTTGGCATCTACTCCCCCTGACGCCTCCCACACTGCTCTGTGCTCTGAAACAGGATAAACCCTGCCAACTTTCACCATCTGAAGATGTGCAGAATATTTCCTCCATCCATTTCCTTTGTCTTATCACAGAAAGCCTCTCTGCATTGTTTAGCTTAACCCAGAGCTCGGCACGTTTGGCAGAGAGCCGGGGTCCTTTTTTCCTCCTTCCTTATCATTTTACAGTGGCAGACCACAGCAGAAACAAAGTGTGGAGATTGCCCTTGGAGTTCAGGGGTAGTGTGTTTGTTTAATTCTGTAATGGTGAAGCATTAGGAGTTTGAACTTTTGCCATGCTTTGACACGTTGAAGATGAATGATGCGGATCTCTGTATGGAGCAGATTCTTTGGCTGGGAACTCTTCTCCACTGCGGTGTGGGGACTGAGGTCAGGTCCCATTGGAGACTGTTTGATGGGGACAGAGGTGAAGGAGCAGACTGGAGACTTGTTTTTACAGTGACTGAACCAGCGCCATGCATGAAAGCTGACAGTTGATTCAGCTCTTCCTGAATGTCAGTCAACTCCAGCGATTACCGCCTCATTCCACAGGCATTCATGTGAAAGTCACAAGACCAAATGTAGGTATGTGTGTGTTTAGGCAGAAGACAGACGGATCAAGTGGGTTATTTTAGAAGTTCTGATCTTTTCAAATGTTAGATTTAGGCAGGATTTTGCCTTGATGACAGTTGAAGAGAAAACTGGATCAGGAAAGGACCATGAATCAACTTTTGGACTAACACATACTAGATAAGGATTTTCTTTTTTAAGGATGTATCCTGAATCTGTAATCGGTTGATATTAGACATTGTCTGTTTTTGATTTTGGTTATTCAGTTGTAAATGATCATTTCAGTTTATTTTTTCATTTAAGTTTTATTGCTATCATCTAACGTAAATATTTAACCCTCTCAAGGGTATGATCACACCAGTGTGATCAACCTGGGTTGGTCTCTGAAGCGTACAGTCACACCGTTGTGATTAGCTTTGGCCGGTCCCTGTAGTGTACAATCACACCTGTTTGATCTGAACCATCAGAGCGCAAGTCATCAACTGAAAAAATCTGACGAAATGGGCTGAGGCACAGAAAGAAGTGCACAGCAGTGCTTGTCCTAAATCAAAAATTATCTTTGCTTACAAACAAATAACATTGATTTTAGGTCTGAGACATTCAAATACACATAGCTACAAGCAAAACATACCATTTAAGGCTTGTAAAACACACGCGAATGTTCTCGGAGAGAGCAATAATATAGTTTTTTTCAGTATAACTGCACAATATGCTTTGTTCACGTAAGATATACACTGTTTTTGTTACTAGAATATTTTGTCTATTTCTCTCACAGGAATAGAGAAGGCTTACCTTCATGTATTTCTGCAGAAAATTATGAATAAACATGACATAAATCTAGCAACTCGAATCTCTCCTGTGGTTGTTTATAAAAGGGATACAGCTGTGATCAGAAGATTGTGATTATATTGTTTATTAAATTACACATTAATTGTATTTTATTAGCGTCTGCCACTACCTCAACTCTAAACCCAATCCTCACACTAATATAAATATAATATTTGTTGTACAGTTGAACATTTGTCAATATTTTCCAGAAAAGGGCAAAACGAAACAAAATACGAGATATAGATAGATCACTGGGGCTGGCGGGTCAGGTGATAAACTTGTCCCATTTATCCCACCAAATGCCCTTAAACAATTACTAATGCACTACAGAAAGTTACGTTTACACATCCGTGCACAAAGTGCATGTAAACGCATCAACTTTCACAGCGTAATACTCAATACTCACTACTCACTACTCTTGAGTGCGTTTGAAAGGTCTACTTTTCACTCATACTTTGAGTAAAATTTACAATAGATACTTTTACTCGCACTCCATATTTGGGCAAGTAATGGTACTTTTACTTAAGTATGATTTTTCAGTACTCTTTTCTAGTCATGGGCCGGTATTAGATTTTGACGGTATGATAACCTTGGATAAAAATATCACAATATC